TTTGGACTCACTTTTATTTTGAGTGTGAGTGAATGACCAAGAGATTCAAAGGCCAATCACACAAGAAGACGACTGCAACTTTTAGAGATTGACAAGATTTTTTCTGTCATATGACGGACATCACCAGGAACAGCGTCAACCAGGATACTTCATTAAAACCAACTGGCAGCCAGTCGAGGGAAATTTGCAGTCTTCTACTATGACCGGCCTTATAATCTCTTCTTTACACACTTTATTCGAAATGAAAGTGAGCTCATCAAATAAAAATCAACTATCGCTCTTTAAATCACCTTAAGTGGCCTAGGATTACTTAAATTAAGCATGGTAAAACTCAAGCAAAATTTTGATACCAGCACAATAATTTGTCCGAAGGGAGTGTTAGAACGTAACATGTGCTTCCTACTTTCTAATAGTTGAACCAACCACGATAGGTGGACAAAGAAGGCGATAAATTTAACTAGGTCTTATGCCCCGGCTCATGAGGTGTACTAAAGATTCATTCAGTGCCAGCAACAGTAATCAAAACGAAGCAATATGTCCCAGGGATAGTCACATCATCCGCCATACAAGATGGAACAAACAGGCGGGCAGCAAGCTAGTCAGGTAGTCAGAATCCAAATATGAAGACCAAGATGGTGTGGCCTCTGGTATGGTCGCAGTCTCCTTTTGATGTATAGAAGTGGGGTAACCTCGTTGTCGCAACTTGGTCTTGTTGTCAAGGTGACATAGTAAAACAGACCTAGTCTGGAGTCCAGTATATGCATGTTAATTTTAAAAATTCGGACCATGGCCATGCTGGAAATTATGACGACTAATAAAGCAGACGACTTCGGACTAGGTGCGTTCTACTAAGTCGCCCTGACAACAAAATGAAGTTGTAACGACGAGGTCAATCCACTTCTAGTCAAAATACTGTTTCTTGAAACCTTCCAACTTGTAAGCAAATTTTTGTTAAAGGATATTTTAGAATGGTCCCACGATTTTCCACAGATCGTCATCCGACACTTGTAAACAAGTGCTGGGCAAGTCGGCCCAGTGGCACCTGGAGAGCACCATCCTCTTTTGAATCCCCATAGGGGTGCTGATGGGAAAGTGGGGCATGTGGGTGGGTGAATGTGCAGAGCTTTTGAGAAGTAAGGTAACGCAATGCCTACTCACGATATTGTGGGAAATTCAAGAATATATGTCATCAGATCTTGATGACTGACGGCAGATGCTGCATACATATGGAAATACACACAAACAAACACGAACTGAATAAAGGGGCAAACCTACATGCATACATATATAAGCATCCAGGCAAACGAACATAGATATATGCATAAATATATACAGATGTACATATGTACATAAATGCATACATAAATGCATTTGCATATACATATATATACATATATGCATTCGTATATAGACAAATAAAGACAAGCATGACCATAGGTACACAAAACACACACGTTAATGCACATAATGGGTATGAGCTAGGAGAAAAAAAGCTTAGTAACCTAATTTAAAAGCTGTATTCGTTTTATTCCGTTTAGGCTAATGAAGTACTGGTAGTCGAATTTGAAATTTCCCACAATTATATGAGTAGGACTTACACTTAGCAATGAAGTGTATTATTTATTTCTCGTTTCACAGGTACCTTCTTCGAGGCTACCAGTAGATCTGATATAAGATTTTTGTTCAGTTTATTAGTAATCTAATCCTCAATGATAGTCCTCCAAACTACTTAATTCAAAAGAATAAACTGGGAAAATTAATTTATAATTCACAATAGGAATTCTTTAAGGCAGTGATTCCCAAACTGTGCGCCGCGGCGCCCCAGGAAGCCGCGGCCTCTTTACAGGGGTGCCGCAAAATATTGTAAAAGCTTCAATTTTGAGAAAATGTGCAGTGATTTGCAGGCTCATCCATCACATTAATTATTAAATATTGATTTAATGTTAACAAAGTAAAAAAAATAATAAAGATACACGAATTTAATTTATTTTTATCTCTTACTTACGAATAGTCATACTTAGGTTAGGGTGCCATGGAAAAATTTTAATTGAAAAAGGGCGCCGCGACTAGAAAAGTTTGGGAACCACTTCTTCAAGGTATATATAAAGTCGGTTGGCTTTATTAACTCAATTTTGGCATGTAATTTTTAAAGGAATGGGTTACATGTGTAAGAATGTCTGCCAAGTGGCGTGAGGACTGGGGGCTCAGCATGTTTTTCCCTGAACCCAAGGAGATCGACTAGAGGACAGAGTCAACTTGAACCTGTAAATCAACTCAGAGCCCAGAATACCTAAAGAAATCAACAGTCATCTTCGGATAGGATCTACCAACGAACTTTTGCATGAAATGAAATTCGATTCAATAACAAAGACGACTTAAAACTGATGGCTACCTGCGAATTAGTCATGTCTCAATGATCAAGTTACCGGATTACTCCGAGTGAATTGAGCACGCATGGTTCAGACAACCATGACCGGAGCCGAGCTGGAGTCGACCTATTTCCATCGCTGCCGCTGTTCACGGCTCCTTTAAGACCCGAGACAGCGGGTAGCAAAAACTGGCTTGTCAACACAGGAACCGCGGCCTCAGCAAGCTCGGGCCGGGCATCTGTAGATGCTGATAAATTCCAGAGAACCGCAGTGATCTCTTCGTGCAGACGCAGTGTCTCGACTGACTCTCGATAGGCAGAAGTGGTTTCCCGGTTGTCATCGAGGAGGATGGAGATAAGTCCGATGAGGCAGTTATTTTTGCGTAGTTCTTGCTTTTACAAAATGAAGAGGGGAATACGCACAAAAAATGTGGTTACTGCCGGTCTGGTAGTTTATCAACTTGCGGTAAAAATGTGCTTGGTCCCTAACAGAATGAAAGCGATGCAGGATTGTGTACATTTATGACTATCATACATGTACATCTACCATTTACTGGTTGCTCTCACTTAAAGAAAGGACATTGAGCCGGTGCAGAATAGGGAAATCTGAGGCAATGATCGCATGCTGTACCACCAGCAAACTGCGGAGCACAGACTCGCCCAACAAAGAAGCAAGATGGCTG